ACAGTGTGACCTGGCTGGTACTTCGTACCTGCTCTTTTGGTTGGTGCAGTGGTGGTGTCGGTGTCGGTGCTGGCTGGTGCCTCAGTCCGTACCGTGGGTGGCCGCGCGCAGCAGCCCAGATCGCAACCTCCTTCGAGTCCTCCCCCTCTCTCCGATCCGACGATCTTCGACTCCCTCTACTTCGCTTCGCATCCTCGCCGCTGGCTGAGCCGACTTGATGGACGTGGAAATGTCTTCAGGGGACGCGCCGCCGCAGGCGCAACCGCAACCTCACCAGCAAGAACAGCCGAACCAGCGACAGTCGTCGACACCAGCGCCCTCGGCCGCGCCCGTGCCGCCCGCTCCCAGCACGTCGACGTCAAACTCGGCCGGAGGAGTGAGCTTTCGGAGGTGAGTCGTTCAGATTCTGGCTCAGTTCAAAGTGCTGATCCCCTCTTTTTAATACACAGACAACGAGCGTCACGCGCATGCGAGGTATGCACCTTTTCTTTGGGATTCGTCTGCCGAACCTTGGCCCATGAAACCCCCCGTTCCCCTCAACATGAGCCGAGGCATCAGCGGGCACCTCCACCTCATCATGGCTGTCCATCGCAACGCCCACCATATGACAACGACAGCCTTTCACGCTCTCTTGTCCTCGAAATTGTACCGAATTGAATGAAATGATGCTAACGACTATTATTCTTAGACCTGCCACGCGAGAAAGGTACATCAACTTTCGCCCTATTAGCACAGGCGCTCATCAATCCACGCCACTTTATTCGCCCTCGGCTTGAACATCAATTGTGATGCTAACCCACATCTCCCATCCAGGTTCGATGCGACGCGGCGAGCCTTGGTGTACCTTGCACCAACTGCGTAGCCTTCCAGATTGAATGTCGTATTCCAAACCCTAAACGCAAGAAGACCCAAGGCACAGGTGGTAGTCAGACCAACAAGGATTCAGATAGGTAGGCATCATCACCTAGCCTCATCGTATCCTGCTAACCACATTCTATCCAACAGTGACCGAGGCGATGGCACCGAGGATCCTTCACCTCGTCCTGTCGCTCCAACTGCGGCCAGCTTCGCTCCTCGAACGCCCTCTGTCTTCCACTCGCACAATGGCACTCCACCAACCACATTGACAGAAGCTCAGGCTCGGAAGGAAGAGGTTGATAGTGGCACATATCTCGATCTTGTTATGAAGCCCAAGTTCACTCGTGCTCCGATCACCGAAGCTGGGCGAGTCGCGTACCTCGGCGAATCTTCCAATCTCACCCTTCTCGTTCACGATCGTCAAGGCTCGGCCGATGTTGTTCACTACCCGCTGCCCGAGAACGTTCGCGGCTCTCGAGCCCGTCTCACTGAGCTCGACAATGTTGAAATCGACATTTTACATCAAAGAGGAGCATTCCTGCTTCCTCCGCGCGCACTCTGCGACGAACTCATTGACGCCTACTTCAGCTGGGTGCATCCCATCGTGCCCGTCATTAACCGCACCCGCTTCATGCGACAGTATCGAGATCCCAAAAACCCTCCGTCGCTGCTGCTTCTTCAGTCCGTCCTCCTTGCCGGAACTCGGGCCTGCAACAACGCTCAGCTGATGGACGCGAATGGTTCTACGACGCCGGCTGCTCTAACTTTCTACAAGCGCGCCAAGGCCCTGTACGATGCAAACTACGAAGATGACCGTGTAACAATTGTCCAGTCGCTACTTCTCATGGGCTGGTACTGGGAAGGACCTGAGGACGTCACCAAAAATGTCTTTTACTGGAGCCGCGTGGCGACCATTGTTGCTCAGGGCTCGGGCATGCATCGATCCGTCGAACAGTCACAGCTAAGTCGCTCAGACAAGAGGCTGTGGAAGCGCATCTGGTGGACGCTCTTCACTCGCGACAGATCAGTGGCTGTGGCATTGGGTCGACCTGTTCATATCAACCTCGACGATGCAGACGTGGAAATGTTGACGGAGGATGATTTCATCGAGGACGAACAAGACCGCGTGAGCGAGTATCCGCCCGACCCAATCCACGTCCAGTTCTTCCTCGAGTATGTTAAGCTCTGCGAGATCATGGGGTTGGTGTTATCACAACAGTACTCGGTAGCCTCCAAGGGCCGGCAACGAAATGCCATCGATCTCACCCACAGCGACATGGCACTGGCCGATTGGCTTCAGAATTGCCCCAAGATCGTGTACTGGGAAGTGCCACGCCATCACTTTTGGTCCGCTCTCCTTCACTCGAACTATTACACGACATTGTGTCTCCTACATCGAGCCCATATGCCGCCAGGCGGCTCTGCACGGTTCCCCGATCCTTCGCCATACCCGTCGCGAAACATCGCTTTCCAGGCAGCGGCCATGATCACATCGATTGTCGAAAACCTCGCCGCTCACGATCAGCTACGATACTGCCCGGCCTTTGTTGTTTACAGTCTATTCTCCGCTCTAATCATGCATGTTTACCAAATGAGATCACCTGTGCCTTCAATTCAGCAGGTGACACAGGACCGGTTGCGCAGCTGCATGTCGGCTATGAAGGAGATATCACGAGTCTGGCTGGTGGGCAAAATGGTCTATGCTCTCTTTGAGTCCATCATTGGAAACAAGGTGCTGGAAGAGCGACTGCAAAAAGCTGAGGGCAAGCGACATCGAAAGATGCGTCAAACTCTTACAACACAACTGGAACAGCATAGTCGACAGCAAGAAGCGCCCAAACGGAAATACGACGAGATGGCCATCGACTTTGGCACCAACACTCCTCAGCCTCAGGAGTCATATGAGAGGTCACGCCCACAGACGCCGAGTGCCGTCAAGGCAGAGACGAGTTCGATGCAGCCGCCGCCTGTAACCTCGCCAGGTGCACGACAGAGTGCGGCAGACACATTTATGGGAGGAACGAACTCGAGACCACAGACCCGACCAGCGACACCCTTTAACCCCTCATTCTCGGTGCCGCCAACGCCTCCAGATCTGTACCTTGTGACCAGAAACTCGCCGAACCTATCTCAGTCCTTGTGGGAGAATTTCCAGCCAGATCAGCTGTTTCCGGACAGCGCTGCTATGCCAGCGTTCCCAAACTTATCGCCAATCCAGACACACGCTTCCCTCGATCATAGCGCAATGGGACCAGTACCAGGCAACGGGCAAGGCGGGATGCCCAACCAGCAGGCGGGGCAGTTCCAGCAGCGAGGGAACGGAATTCTACCACAGGGTTTCCAAGGGCATACCAACATGTGGCAACCAAATCTTGATCCGAATTTGCCGGAAGGGCAGAGTCCTGATAGCTGGAGCAGCACATCGGGCCAAGGCCAAGCAGTCCCGACGACACTTAATGTAGAAGACTGGTAAGCATTCATTTGCGGTGTTTGACTAAACTGCTCTCAGGCTAACCCTTTCCAATAGGTTCCAGTTCTTCGGCATCAATGGCACTGATCCAAATCACCTTAATCTTGATATACCATTGGGCTGAGGAGATACTCAGGGGCAGGTCTATAGCGTTGTCTAAGTCGGCTAGTATCGCGAGGGTATTTCCACCGAGATGAAGTGTGTCGGTGCTCAGCAGTGGACATGTCTTAGGGAAGCCCCTTGAAATATTGAATCGGTTCAAGCATAGATGGCATTTAATAATAGGGTCATGGAGACCCAACACCTGGTCGTGGACAACGATGGCTCGTCTGTCACATCAAAAATGCCCCTCATCGAGCTTTGATGGGTGTTCAGATTTCCGAGCACCAACAGTGCGGCACCTTGGGGGCTGTTTCTGGAAACAGGTGCTACTAAGATCGAGAATGGCTGGGAATGTGTCTATGAGCTAGGTAGCCTGAGCAGGCAAGGGGCTGCATGAGACCAAACAGAGTCTCATAAAAGGTCGGTGAAACATTAACCAATCTACCCAGTTGGATACTATGGCCTCCATACTATATATATCAAACATGAATGCAGCAGTTGACTTCCATGCCGGGCCATGATGGATGACGGCAACTTTGCGGTGACTGGCTTGGCCTGCCACCTGGTCATATCAGAGGAGGTCAAGGCGCCTTCTGGAAGATTTTCAGATTTTCAGGGGACTTGGGGACAGTTCTCAGGGGCTACAAGCGGCCGGGTTAGTGGGGGTACACGTTATCTTGAAGCCAGAGACAATGATGCAGCCAATCCGCTACAGTCAAAGTTTGGGTCTGCAGTGGATCAAGTTCCGCCGCCTCCACGCGGCCCTGTTCACCCACCTAACTCGTCACCCTCGTCACTTTGAAGGTCCCTCGATCGTTATGCATAACCTTGCATCCATTGTCTCCATAAGTAGCAACCGTTATTGACCTGCGTATACTGCTCTGAATGACAGCAATTTAGCCTTTTCAGGGCAAAGGTCAAGACACTGCGCGGGCCGGACTGGAATGGATTGGCTCATTTACAGTTGAAAAGGTGTTGAGGTTGGTCGAGTCTAAAGACAAGGCGGCCGCTTGCATCATTTTCGGTCGCTCCCATCGCTTGGTGCTACTGTCCACTGCGACTGCTAGGCTGGCCTTAGCTATTCCCGGAGTTTGGCTGGCGGAGGCCCCGTTCCAAGCACAAGTGGAAGCAACCTTGTCCCGACCGACCACAACCACTCGAATACAACCTCGACCAAAGTGTCCACGATAAACCTTTGAGGCCACAGCGAACAACGGCCACGACGAAGCAGTTTCAATCCTACATTCATCCATATTTGGGGGCCACAGGAGCAGATGTTGCGCTGAACCACCAGCAACATTGGCTCTGGCACCTTACTCATCCTCCGTTCTCAAGTCTCCGCCAGCAAACGGCACCCCCTGGCCACCGTCTGTCCCGCCGTCCATCCACTTCCGTCTCCGTCTGCCTCGTCATCTCGCCTCCTACGTCCTTTGCCGTTTCTTGACACATTGCCCCAGACTGAATGACTGCAACTACGACGACAGGAGAGACGCCTTGAGTGCCACGCACTGATGCAAAGCCGCGAGTCCACGACCCGCGAGCTTCCGTCGTCGCCGAGTTGGTGGCTATCATGACCGAACCGAGACTCTCTGCGAGGCCCTCGCCGCACAGGTCTTCGTCGGCCCTGGCGCCCGCTTCACGGTCTTCAGATTCCGCCTCCGTCCGGCCACGAAACCGCCGTCTTGTCAGCACAGCAGACGGCGACGACGACACCGCCACGTCCACCAACCTCCACGATCGAGGAGCGAGCCGCTCCCGCCGCGGCCGCAATCCCAACAACGTCCACGACACGGCAGCCTCGCCCTCCCCTGCGCGGAGTTACGGCCTCTTGTCCGCCTTCAGCCCCGCCAACAGCAGATCTGCGAGCCCTTTACCTTCAGAACGAGGCGGCGCCAGCCCCCATCGCACCAACAGTGCTGCCAACCTGACAAACTTCTTCAATGACTCTCTGACGCAGAGCTGGGCATCCGTTCAGGGGTTTGCCTCCTCCCTCATGTCGGGCGACGAGGGCACGGCAAGGAGGTCCCAGTCCCATAATCGAGCGGGCACTCGACCTGGGAACTGGGGTATGGACTTTTCTAGCACCAGCAACTCGAGAAATGCCGCTGCATGGGGTCCCGCGCCTCCCAAGGAGCCAGGCCTGGGCGACGTGGGTGCTGGTTCACGAGAAGAGCGTGAGGCTGCGCTCAAGGCTGCGAAAAGAGCCATGGTGCTGGAAAGTCACGACGGCGTCAACGGAGGACTCGATACCAGTGGGAAGCATAAGCGCCGCAACTCAGACGAGTCCGCCGCCGAACAAGCCCAACCTCAGGAATACTTGGTCTACGTCCACAAGGTTGAGCCCAGTGACACTTATGCCGGTCTCATCTTGAGATATCAGTGCCGGGAGGACGCCTTCAGGAAGGCCAATGGTCTATGGACTCGAGACAGCGTACAGATGCGCCGATGGTTAATGATCCCGGTTGATGCTTGTGACGTCAGGGGACGGCCTTGCGATCCGCCTTCATGGCAAAACTCGCAGGGCGTTGACTTGCTTGCTCCAACTCCTGCGGCTGAAGAAAGTACGCCAACAGGAGCAACGCATGACGATTTCTTTAGTCGACCTACGAACGGGACGTCCTCGGAGTCCAGAGTGACCGACGAAGAGGAAAAGCGATGGACACATGTTCGCTGGGTCAAGATTGACTCGTTCCAGCATCCGGTTGAGATTGCGCGGGTTGCGCGGAACGCAATGGGATACTTTCCTCCTCGACGGAAGAAGAGCATTCGAACTATTTCAGCATTCTCGACGCCACGGCAAAGTCTCGATATATATAGCAACCCTACTGGTTCCCCGGGTACTGCGTCTCGTCGTCAGAGCTCCCTCGGTCACAGACCCCAGTTCTCGGGAACAATAACTTCAAGTCCTGGGCGGGCAATCAGCGAGGGAGGCGAATCTTTGCCGTCGTGGATGCGGCGACCTGGAGGAGTAGGCTCCATGGGCCTCAATTCGCGGGCGCCAGGACCAGACAAGGACTATCTCACCACGTGGACCAAGAAACATCTTCCGGGGCTTAATCTGGATAGTCTCCCTTCGATGTCCGTCATGGGATCGGAGACAGCACACTTTGGATTCAAATCAGGAGAATCAGCGAACATTGTTGAGAGCCACACCAAGGAGGGCCATGACACCAGCTCAACGGCACAACAGGGAATTGGGTTAGATAAGGCTGCGGCAGCTGTTGAGACTTGGCTCAGGGGCGCCCTCTCGCGAAAGCCGAGCACCCAATTGGAAAGGATCCGTGGCAGGCCTGAACGAGACGGCGATCTCATCGAGCTGACGGATACCGGCAGCGATGACGGCAAGCAAATGATGGGAGGACCGACCAGCCTGATGGAAGCACTATCGATCGGGACCACCAGCCGAAGTGAGGGTGATGGAGCTCTCCGAGGACGGATCGTGGCATCAGGAGCCAAGGGTGGCAAAGATGATTAAACAAGGCCAACTATATATACCCAGCCGATTCGATGCTGGTGTCTCACACACGGAGTCATGTTGTTCAAAGTAGAAGTGCTTGGGTCGGATCAAGATTGACGGCGTTTAGTTACTGGCGAGTTGATCACCTTTGGGAGGCTTGACTGTGCTGTCTGTACAGGAGGGCGTCTTCTGCATGTTAAACTACCTTTAAGCTGCGAGGCGTTGGGAGGGCATTCGCGATTCTTCAGGATATTTGATACTGCATAACTTATAGCAACTTGACAACCTAGCAAGAAACAGGTAGCAGATTTTACAACATTGACAAACTACATACCTATTATCTCCGTGTCCAATAAGATGAGCATATCAATTCGTGATTCGAATGCAAGCAGGTGCATCTGGAGGTGCTTGCTGGGTCGCATGTGGTAGGTGGTCCCTTGCCTTAGTGCATGCGCATGGAGATTGATCCATCCCCCCACGTCATCCTCTCGCCCAATTATTCTGCGTGGCCGCTTCAACACCAACAAAAACCCCATACGTAGCTTGATATTTGGATTCATTCATCAGCCATATCATGCCCACCACAGACAGCGCCTAATAAACACAGCATCTATCATTCATCGTGGGAGTAGCTCAGCTGCAGCTGCTAGCGAGCCGCAGCCGAGATGCCCATCTGTATCGAGTGTCGACACCCCGTCAAGACGCTCTGGACGCAATACTCTGGAGCAGGGGACAAGGCCAGCGGACACAACATCCGGCTCACTGTGTGTCGCAACTGCGGCCAGTTCTGCGACAAGTATGTCGAGCATGACTTTGTCGTGATTTTTATCGATCTGGTGCTCATAAAGCCCCAGGTGAGTTTCCCTTTGTCCCCCTTACTCGGTATCAAACATTAACACTCATGTCAGGTTTATCGTCACCTATTGTATAATACTTTGACGAGCGATGATGATCGTTTGGACGTATGTCTTTTGCCCTGAATTGATGAACTTTACTAATTGTCGACTCATAGCCTTCCATAGTTCGTCTGGGAATCCTTTTGCTCCTATTCGACGTCTACTTGACATGGGCTCGCATCGAGAAGCAGACGGTGCCTGATGCCACGCCAGGTGAGAGCAACCTCGGAAAGCTCGCGCAACAGTCGATTGTCTTTCAGTATCTCTTCTTCCGTAAGTATTCTTTCCTGTCATTCATCTTCTTTGTGCTGAGACACCATCCTTATAGTCGTTTTCTGCGCCCTCTCTACGGCAGCGTTCCATGTGAGCATCCGCTTCCTCACCTCATCCACCTTTTCACCTCTCAACGTCCTCGGCATCCTCCCTCGGTACTCACGGCCAAACTCGGTCTCGACAGCCCTGCTTGTCTCCTCCTACTCCAAACTGTTCCCCATTCTCATGGTCATCTGGGAATACGACGTTCCTGCCGCCGCCAGGTCACTTGGATGGGCCGTCGTGGCCAACAATGTCGAGGCACTGCGCATCCTCCTCGATTGTGGCTACACTACAGCATGTCTTCTAGCCATCGCAGGCGCGGCTTCGCGCTGGGTTGTTGGCCGTGTTGTCCTATACGCTGCTGGACTCGCCGATGTGGACTCGATAGGCGGGAGTAACATCGCCGAGGACGGGAGAGCATTATGGGCGCTGATGATATACGCGAAGGAGTGGGCCAGTCGGCTTGCTGTCGGATAGGGCCGTCCGCAGGTAGAGGATCATATGTTGGTTGAGATGCATCCACAGGTAGTAGAGGATCACAGCATGAGCTTGCAAGAGAAGGATTGGGTCTGTCCAGCGCATTTCGGCTTGATAATAGAAGCGACCAACTCCGTTTGTAAAAAGACATGATACCTGTACGGGGGTAAAACAACAACATAAGATTACAGGCGTATCCCATCAGCCCTTCAGCGCGCAAGCAAGTCCATCAATCCCGTCCGCCCAGCTCTTCCTGACATGGTGTATGTATGTATCTATTCATCGAGGTACTCTTCGCGAATGCCGGTTCGTCTCGGCGCAATCAGGGGGTGCAGCTGGGCCATGAAGGTGATGGCCCACATCAGGTAGCAGCTCACGATGGCGAGAATCAGCGATGACCGCCAGAGCCTGTAGTAGTCCAACGTTAGCAAACCCGGATGTCATGTCGTAGGGCGACGGCGATCGCAACACGGCCGAGACGAGAACTGACACTTGGTTTTCTCCCTTGGGGGCAAGGAGCCACGACGCAACGCACAGGGCCGCGATGACAACGAGGCCGATAAAGACGGCGTATCTATGAGCATTGCGACTCTTGTTAGCCAACCCATCCACGCGTCCTAGGAGCAAGCTTGGACAAGCAAGGGGGACGGATTGCCATTTACCCTTGAGCCATGTTTGCGGTTTGCGCTTCTTCGAAAGATGATCGAGTCGAGCTTGATCCCGCCGGCAGGAGAGCTTCTTCGTTTGGGGCGATGGGGCGATGGGGCGGGCGTTGAAATCGGGGGGCTAGGGGTGAGCTTCTCGGGAGGTTACGATGTCGGCGATGGTAGCTTGTTGCTGGATTGGTTGCATCACTGCGAAGCGACACGCAGGTCCAAGCTGAGTCAGCCAATTAGGCAGTGAGACTTACCCTAGAGCAATGAGCATCACCTTGACGGGAGGGATGAGTGGTAAACGTGTAAGCTGTCTCACTTAAAAATTGAATAATGATTAATATATATCCGCTGGATTAAAGCGTAGGTATGTTTCTACTTGTATATGGCTTCTAGGCATTTACGGCTGATCGTTGTTGATCTTGATACTGCAACTCTTTCACTTACACGGCACTTCCAACACAACGCATCAACAATCCAACTTTCACCCAAAGCTTGATGAGTTTCAGTTCCCTCCTTTGTGAAGGGAACTTCTTTTTACTAAATAGACCACGATGCACTCTCGATGGGCTTGCTTACGGATGAGTCACCACAATGTAGGTATCGCACATACTGGCAGGTGGTAAGGATGTATGAACCATCTACGTATAGTAACTGTCTATTTCATCAATACCTTTGCTAGCTAGTCTCATATTTAAGCCCAGCTTCCTTCCGCACCGCTCCATATATTCCAGTCATATCTACTGAAGGTCCGGCATGCTCCTTCAACTGGGTCAGATGCGCATCGACAGTCTCTATGTTGTGCAGAGTAGCACCAACATCCTTGGCCAAGCTCAGGGCATGCTTGGCATCCTTTCGTGCTAGATCAACGGCAAACAAAGGCTCCTTCTTATGGTAGTCGCCGCTGAGCATCTGAGCGCTGCAGGCGGCGTACGCACCTCCAAATAGAGAGTCGACGAACTGGTGGAGGACGTCGGTGCCCAGGCCTGTCTTCTCCGCCACAACGTGCGCCTCGGCGAGCTGCTCAACCATGTTGAGGATAAAAGTGTTGCCCAGGACCTTGAGCTTTAGAGCCTTGCTGTAAGGTTCATCCGACATGTCGATCTCGGCCACCGCTGTAACGCCCTTGAACCACATCTTGGCTTTTGTGACACTGGCAGCGGGTCCGGCGAGCACTCCGATGAGGAGGCCCGCGTCCGCCATGACGGGAGTTCCAAAGATGGGAGCGGCGACAAATTCGCCGCCCTTTGCCACGACGTCTTTTGCAAGGGCCTCTGTGGTATCGGGATGGATGGTTGAGCTCTCGATGAAGAGCTTGCCCTTGACATCACCTTCGAGGATCGTCTTGTATGTCTCCTGGACGGCCTCATCGTTGGCGACGCACGAGAAGATGACGTCTGCTCGTGAGATACCCTCAGAGAGGGATGTAACAACTTCTGATTTACCCTGGGGGAGACTGTTGCTGTGGTCGATGGCTCGCTGGACCGAGCGGTTAAAGAGGAGAAGAGGACCGTCGAGTTTACCCTTCTCGACTATGTTTTTGCTAATTCCCTGATTCTAGTTAGTTCCATTCCATCTATATATCATGGCTATTGAAACTCACCCTCCCCATGTTACCAAGACCAATCCATAGAAGCGTAGGAGCCATGGTGACGGTGTAGGTTACGCAACCAAGTTGAGACGAGTAGTTCTAGAAGCTAGTCAATCACCAAGATGTCTTCTTAAAGTTATCCTCCCACTCTCGAAGACGCTTCGTCTTTCTTTTATACTGCATTTTAGCCGCCCAATCCGACATAGGCGAGATCCAGCGCTTGCACGAATTGGAAGGTAGCTCAACAAAATACCTCCAATCGCCAAGCTCTGAGTGGAGGAGTATCAGGCTCGCGACCAATTGACTATTTGTCCGTTGGCTCCTTCGAGATGGATAGAGAGGGATAGAGCGGGATATTCTCGGTCTCTTATCCACTGTTGTTGGTTCTGGGGTTAAAAAAGTCATGTAGTTTGTTCCTTCGCGCGAATTTTCTCGGCCGGGGATCTTTTGCATCTCCGTCAAACTGGGGATATTGAACGAACCGGGGTGAGAATATTGTAGGTTATTTTGGCTTGACTTCACACGTCATTGTCAACTTATAAATGTCATTGCTCGCATGTGATATCTGTACAATTACGTGTTGTTTGCACACGGGCCTTTTTCCTTCGACATGTTCAACAACATAGACATCTTTTCGGGCCTTGAATGGAGTCGGTGCTTAGATTTCCCAAAGCCATACCGAGCCAAGCCACCTATTACTCAGTTTATAGGTAGTCTAGATGCATCGAATGACTCCATTCTCAGACTCCCAGCTCCTTAGCCCAATTGTAGACCACAAACCACACCAGCTATTGAAGAAGGGCGCAGTGAGGACAGTGCAAATCCGCCTGCGCAAGTAGATTGGTGCTCGCCTGAGGGCTCGAGGTGCTGCGGAGAGACACCCCAGAGTGATATATTTCTACCTGTCGCCATCACCCATGTATATGGAGCTCGGCATGACGCAACTGCAGAGCTGGGGTAATCGGAGCTCCTATCCCCGGTTGACTCAATTGCCTTCCGAGTGAGTCCTGGAATAGGTACTCAATACCTACTGTCCAAACATACAATTCGCCTCGGTTGAAAAAGCCACAACAATCTAGAAGATATAAAGCCCACGCTCAACCCCTGTCAAATTGCTAATAACCCCCTTATTGTGGTTTAGTCTTACCAGAGTGCCGACGCTCTGCAGCATCACAAGGCGACATCGGCGCAGGGCCGAGAACTTATCGGCTTATCGGCCACATCTCTCCACCAAAAAAGTTGCTTCACCCCCACCAACCCACGCCCATCTTTGTAAGTCTCGCTGCTTGCTTTTTGACTCACGAACCCCCAGGGTTGCATCCTGCCATCTTCCTCGGCCCCCTTGAGAAAAAGAACATTGGCCTGGCCGTCCCTCCAGCTATGCTCTGCAGCTAGCATTGATCTTACTCCCCCTCACGGCCGCTCCTAATCGCTCTGATCGCAGGTCATCCGGGGGAGCTGCTGTATATCAACCCTCGTTCACTTATTATTCCGGGCTCACCCGGGAATCGTCATTGCCCATCGTCACCGGCATCATGAGCTGGCCTCGCGTATGGGAGAAGGCCTCTCGCTGCGGTAATTGTCGCCCAGTTACCGAACCGCGCATCGTGGGTGCTTCACACGCGGCGAGCATCCTTCGGCCCCTGTGCCGCGGCTTTGCTTCACAAGCTAATAGCTCGAAATCAAGTCTTGGCTCCGGCGCCGCTCGATACATGTCGGCGGCATCCGTAGCCCGTGCCAAGAAGAAGGTTCTTGACCGAGTATGTCAACCACCTGGTAACCACTTGACTTGCTACTGACTCGTTCATCAGGACTTCATTGTCTCTGTTCTGGAGGTGTCACCAACAAAGCGAGACGCCAAAGGCTATCTACAGAAGTATGTCGACAAAGGCCCCAAGTCTCTTACCGAGGCGCCCAAGTTCATCCAGGGCGATGAGCAACAACAGACATCATCTGCTCCGTCAAAACCTTTGCATGTGGCCATCATGAAGCTTCGCGCCCCACAAGAGCTCGACACAGAGACTCTTCGCGGGGTCGCAAATACCTTGTCCCAACTACGCAAACTTGGCCTGTTGAGTGTCGTGGTTATCGACTGTGGCACCGATGAGCACCGCCTCACCTTCCAAGATCAAGCATTCCGCCTCTGCGAAGCCATTGATGGGTTCGGGGACATCGGAGCACGCCTGGTTAATAACGCCATTGTGCGTTCAGACGACAGTTCGTCTGCCGACGTTCGGGTAGAGGACCAGGGCTTCATGGACCGCATTCTTCGACACCGCATGATGCCTGTCATCCCATCACTACTCAGCCCTAGTGAGACTCAGGCCCCTCAGCCGTTTGATTCGAACAAGGTCGTCCTGGCACTCACTAGGTACTTTGCTGGTTTGCAGTCCAGTGGCACAGTCAACTCGGCGAGCACGAAGCTGTCCCACCCCAAGACTGTTGCCTTGGTTGAGAGAATCATTATTCTCGATCCGCTCGGAGCTGTTCCAATGACAGGTCGACCGGGCGCTTCACATCGGTTCATCAACCTTGAGCAGGAATATGGATCCATCCTGAAAGAGCTCATGGGCCCAGATGGCTCACCTCTTGCGGAAGAGAGCCCACTCCGAGCCTCAATCACAGCCCATGCTGCCAACTTGACTCTAGCTAGGGATGCCTTGGCTGTACTGCCGTCTACTTCGTCGGCTCTTATTACTACGCCTGATTCCGCGGCTAACGTGGTCGCTACTGCAAATAGAGCGAACCCAACCCTCGAGGATGAACCGGCTTTCGAGTTTGGTGGTATGGTCACAACCCGACGCAAGAAGAACCCGCTCTTGCACAATCTACTCACGGACAAGCCTGTCTTCTCATCGTCGCTCCCGATCGCACGTGCCTCGACCAATTCTGGTAAAGCACCTGTCATTGGGGTATCAACGGGTTCGACACTGCTCAAACGAGGCATGCCCCTGACGATATTCCCGAATCCCCGCGAGAACCCATGGCGCCCACCTGAACCTGGAGGCCCTAGGCTTCGCCTGACTGACAAAGACATCGATCTCCCCAGGCTGGTTCACTTGATCGAAGACTCTTTTGGACGCAAACTGGATGTCGACGACTATCTGAAGCGGGTTAACGAGAACATTGCTGGTATCATCATCGCAGGAGAGTACGAAGGTGGTGCCATCTTGACATGGGAACGCCCGGAGGGTTTGGACGATCAAACTGCTTACGAACAAGGCCGCTATGTTCCGTATCTGGACAAGTTTGCTGTTTTACGAAAGAGCCAAGGCAGTGGTGGTGTAGCCGACGTTGTGTTCAACGCAATGGTTCGAGGCTGCTTCCCTGATGGCGTCTGCTGGAGGAGCCGAAAGGACAACCCGGTGAATAAGTGGTACTTTGAGAGGTCAACAGGTACAGACAAGCTGTCAGGTTGCAACTGGACAATGTTCTGGACGACGCCAGATTTGGATCCCCGACACCCAACGCGTCTAGATTATGAGAGCGTCTGCCGTGGTGTGGAGCCTTCATGGGCGGACAACAAACACATATTGGACTGATTGGAGGGGGATACTGGTTTGGGACTAAAAAAGACAGAGTAACGAAGGGAGGGGGAGATGGATTTCTGGTTCAGAATGTTGCCTACCTATGCTGAGCAATAGGAAATGGGTCTTGAACAGATATAACGAATCAAGCTTAACGAACTAAGAGAAAACACTGATTGCTAATACTTGTTGGGTAGTAGTGTGAGTATACCATCTTACGTATTGCTTCACGCCCATTTGCGGTTATTGTTGGCTTAATGTGTACAGCTCTTCGCGGCCGACATAGTTGAGCATTTTTGGCCTCCTTGATTCTTGGCAATTGTAGGTACCTAGTGAGGGAGGGAGATCTCTTTTTGCTATCCCCCGTGAAGGGAAGGCAGGCCAGTCTCAGCAAAGGCTTGTTGAGACTATAATGTTTCGTTGTTCTTAGTGTTCTGCTCACTTTATCTAAAGCTTTGGGTGTGTTATTGCTGTATTATTATTGCTAGCTTGCTTTGATCCTCGATTGGCTCATAATGGAGGTTCTCATCTACCTACAGTAGATGCCTTAGGTACCCAGCGTTAAGTAGGTGCCTGAATCCTAGGCTCAAGATGACCTAGTGGTGATGCCGTTACGTGCTCATCAACAGTGACTCGTCATCAAGGTGGCTTATTGCCCACGAGCAAGGGCAATCAAGTGGCTGATTATGCCTTCCCCTTTGGTGACTTCAGGCTCTCCAGGGATGAATTCCACGTGACTCTTTAGGCGTTACTCGTATGGCGGGCAGGTACGCGCGAGTCCCGTACAGCGTGCTCCGTACCTTGCTGTAGCAGGAGAGCTAGGGCCACCTTGCGGATCTGCAGGTAGGTCGTCGGCCCGTCGTGGCTGGAGCCTTGGGGCCCGGGGGTAGCAAGCCCCTGGAAAAGGGAAAAAACTGGCTCCTGCTGCAGCTGCGACAGGGCATTTCGCTTCTGACAGCGCTCCAGGCCCATATCTACTGCCTGCCTCGACCTGCTGCTCCGTACCAACGCTGACGCAAAAGCCAATTCTCCAGCTTCCACCATCCTCCCTTTCCCCCCTTCAAACCTCCAGATATTCACCTCTTCGACCTCGGAAGCGCGAGCGCAAATCCCATTTCGACAGACCATTCATTTTCTCGAAGCGACCCGGAAATACCGCCAAGATGGATTTCAGCAAGAACTTTGGCAACTTTGGCAAGAACCTCTCGTAGGTGCTCCCCTGGCGCCCTCAATGACGGCGGAGCTGCGCAATCTCCCACCCGAAGCTCTACCAGCGTCCCAATTCCACCCGACCATGGCTCACCACGTCAATATAGCAGCTTTGGGGCTCAGATTACCCCTTTCGCGTCGCGTACCTTCCAGTACACAAAGGAGCAGCTTGGTCAGGCTGAGGACAAGGTGGGTTGCGCCGTCTGCGCCTTATCGCGCTCCCGCTGTGGCTAACCTGACATGTGGCATACAGACCCAGCTCCCTCCCGACTACATTGACCTCGAGAAGCGTGTCGACGCCCTCAAGCAGGCTCACCAGAAGATGCTTGCTGTAACGTGAGTTTATTGCTTCTACGGCTTTGCCCCGGCATGGCTCACTTAGCCGCGTTTATCTGACACGACGCTTATAGCTCGCAATATTCCAACGAGGCCTACGATTACCCCCCTAACATCAAGGAGACGTTCGGCGACCTTGGCCGCACCGTCAGCGAAAAGGTCCACCTTCTTTCCTCTGCCACCTCCCCCGCCGAGGCCCAGGCCGCTCTTGTCGCTCCCCCTACTGCCAAGCCGCAGCCCAAGACCTTCAGCCATGCCGTCGCTCGCGCCAGTTTGTCTAGCAGCCAGCTGCTTCACCAGCACCACACCGGTGCTGGCGAGGATCCTCTGGCGACCGCTTTGGAGAAGTATGCGCTTGCATCGGAGCGTGTTGGTGAGGCTCGTCTTGCCCAGGATGCCCAGATTCAGAGCCGATTCCTGGCTGGCTGGAACACCACCCTTAACACCAACCTGACCTTTGCCACTCGCGCTCGCAAGAACGTCGAGAACTCCCGCCTTTCCCTGGATGCCGTCAAGGCTCATGCCAAGGGCACCACCTTCAAGCTTGGTGGTAACGCGCAAGGTGGTGAGCAGCACGACGAGCAGGAGCTGAGCCCCGAGGCCCAGGAGGAGATTGAGAAGGCTGAGGATGAGTTCGTAACCCAGACCGAGGAGGCTGTCGGCGTCATGAAGAATGTGAGCTCTGTTCCCTGAATGATACCTTTGAAGTGTGGTCTTGCTAATCAGACTAGGTTCTTGACACCCCCGAGCCCCTGCGCAACCTTGCCGAGCTTGTTGCCGCTCAAATTGAGTACCACAAGAAGGCGTACGAGGTGCTGACTGAGCTCGCCCCCGTCATTGAGGGCCTGCAGACTGAGCAAGAAGTGCGTCGTGCCTCTGCCTTTTAAGTAAATGTCGATGCGTTGAAAGGGGCTGACATTCTGTCCAGGCCGCTTACCGGAAGAGCCGCGAGGAGTCTTCCTAAGTCAGGTTTGACCAGCTCGTGAGTAGTGACTTGGGATAGTGTTGCTCAGCAGCTGCGTGACGGGATTGCTGGATCGATTTTGCGATGGACTGTGTGTGATTCCCGCCAGTGCTGCTTGTATTGTGCCTTTTCCTTATTTATTTTTGTTTCCCTGTGTCGAGATTACTTGCTATTTCTGGCAGGTATCAGGTATTGTCTTGGCCAAGGTATTGAGATATCAACCAACTCAAGATGAGGGTTTCTTTTTTCATACTTATACGTGTATCAGTCCTAGGATTTGATAGATGTCCAGGACCAAGACGCGCAGTGATGTGTGATTGCTTGAAGGCTGGATGTGAGGTCTGCTTTGACCAGTTCACGAGTATTTGGATCCCTTAGAATAGACCAAGTCTAACGACTTTTACTGACTATTATTATGCCATCCGATGCCAATTATTGAACCTTCCTATCAATACCTCGAAATGCTGGAGCCGTATTGTAGCTGGGCGAGACTCGGAGCTCCAGTACTCACGTGACCGTACACGTGTCGGCCAGATCGGCAATGATGGGGCTAGAGTCCAATGAGGTCAATTCAATTTCCTCTGACCATTCCATCAACCTCGAATCCACGACGAAGCCATTGCCAATTGACCTCGCCAGCATGCGGCCGACAGCTCGTGTGTTTGCGCGCTACCTGGAGGCTGGTACTCCCACCGGCCTCACGGGTCTCTGGACTCATGCCACGCCCCGATCGACTCTTCTGTACCTGTACGGAACGACCCTCAGCAAGCTCCAGAACATCCCCGAGACGTCCATGTACCGCCAATCCGTCGAGGCCGTGACCAAACACCGCATGTCCCTCGTCGAGCAGCTGGTCCCCCCGGGCTACGAGGAGTGGGCGGTCCGCGCCAAGGAGCTTGTCAACAAGAACTCGTCGCAGTTCCGCGTCGCTAGCGGCCGAATCGACGGCAGCGAGGCCCGGACGGTCAAGATCGGAGACAAGGTCTTTGTGGTGGGCCGCAAGCACGAGGAGGGAGACATCCGGCTTGAGGAGTGGAACGGAGAGGTGAACGAGGGCCCCGAGTACGAGGGTATCCGGACAGCGGCCGAGCGAGAGGACCAGGTCGTCTGGGCGGAGCGCAAGCCCCTCGAGAACCACGAGCAGGTTGAGTGGGAGGATGAGCCCCAGCTCACTGCCGACCAGTGCGTTCCCCTCCCCCCCAGTCTTGGATATTCGGCAATTGGGAGGTATAGAGTTGGGCTAATTAATTCCCGCGGTATAGGATCTCGGAGCTCGAGCACAAGATTGGCGCTGGCCTCATCGAGGAGGTCATCCAGGTTGCCGAGGGCGAGCTCAGCCTGATCGAGACCATGGAGAAGACCAAGGTGTAAGTTCACATGCTTCCATATCGCCTTTTCGACGCAGTGCTGATTGCCAATTGCAGCTGGGAGGACCTCGAGGATAAGCCCGTCGATGGCCAGTGGACGTACTTTGACCGAACCAACTAAACCGGCCGGCGGAAGATGATTTTTTGTAAAAGTAGAGGGGGAGCTGTGTACATATGCTGATGAAGCTGGGTTATTGGTCTGGTCAATAGAAACGAGTTGAATGCTCTAGTTGATCTTGAATGTTGACGCAGCTCGTAATGAATCCCGCCACTTTATTGCTTCCAATGCCATGACGTCTGCCGGATTGGGTTTGAGGGCCAAACAGTAAAGGCACTTTTGCATTCACACGTCAACTCTGATTGCTCTGCAATGGGTTATTTATCCTTGTCATTCTCAATGTGTCCATGAGATCATACCGTCCACAGGTAACTCAAGAACCGAGATGGTGGGGCAATATTGAAGAACTTCAAGGCTTCTTCAACTTCACCTTTCACAACACGATTACCCTACAACCACATAAAAAAATGTCTCTTCTAGACCCCCCAGCTTTCTTACAGCAGAGCAGGTTAAACAAACGCAAGAGACCTGCATCTTCTCCTGAAGATGACTTCCCTAGCTCACTTCCGTCTCATCTCCCCCACGACTCCATCAACCCTCACAGTCACACCCCCGGTATAGTCGCCCAGTTTGCCATCGCAGGCCTCTCGGAGACAGATTTGGACCCTGCTCAGCAGATCCCCGACTTTCCTCATCGGGGTCTCGACCGCAAGTCCGTAGGCCGTATCGAGATTGAACCTGAGCCTGAGGAGGAACCAGACACAGATGCCGACGAGGATGCCGCACCCACAAAGAAGAAGACGACCCAGCGGAGGCGTGGCGGCCACTTTGATGTCCTACTCCAGTCCATCCATCATTTTCTCGATCAGGGAGAGATAGAAAAGGCCTCGCGCGCTTACGGCGTGCTCCTTCAGCTCCGACCTACAGGAGGACCTGTTGATCTCCGGCACCATAGTCTCTGGGCCATCGGCGCTGAGATCCTCATGCGACAAGGCGAGCAAACTTCCTCCGGAGATGACAAGCCCGAAGATGAAAAGAAGGCACTGCCAAAGAGATGGGGCCGTGCAGCAAACATGAACAAAGTCAAGGTCTACTTCGACACACTCATCCAGCAGCACCCATACGACTACAAGCACCCGCAGAGCATCTCAGCGCTAGACTTTTGGCTTGCTCTTCTGAGCTGTGAGATCCACAACACGCACACTGAGCATGTGTTAGCACTGGAGCGCCTGGCACGGGACGCAGACCAAGACTCTCGCCGCGGGTCCTTTGGTCACGACGATAGTTTCGGTAGTGACGACACAGAGAATCAAGAGGTCCGGTTGGCGCAGAGAAAGGAGGAGCTCAGACTTCAAGCACTTGGTGCAATGAAGGACGTCACCAAGAGAATGGATGAGTTGATGCAGGATATGCCTTATTCAAGGAACCAACACTATCTTCGACTTCGCGCCATGGCTTCACTCTACATCGCTGATCTGGTCCTCCCCACAGGACCTACCTCGGCTGCGAGGTTTCAACAGGCACAAAGAACAAGGCAAATGGAACAGAAAACGGCTAGAGATGAGCTGCAGAAGATTATTACACATGGAGGCGAGCTAGACGAGGCTGCAATGGCCGTCCTCAACCCCTCTGAAGATTCTGAAGAGGATACATCTATACCGCTGTATTCGAGCCTCCCCATCCGGGGGCTCTAACCATTGCCTCAATGGTCTGGATTCGGGGTATTATGAGCCGTCCCCGAGGTCTTGGGCGCGGGCTTGGTTGCCCAACGTTGGAGGATCAACGCCGTGTTCGAGCTACCCACAACCACACACCACTCACCTCCTGGACTCCACGCCGCCTGTCTGCCCACAAAGTTGGCTGATGAGGACTCGGTCTTGTGTGCCTTGAGAGGCTCATGAGGATCTTCCTGGCTATACCTAGATGCCCAGGTTTCCAGAGTCTCGGCATTATACTCGCCAATCTCCTCAGTCGCAGCTGACTTAGCCCCATCACTTTGACCGGCAACCGATGTCTCCTTGTCAACGGCTCCATGTCGAGATTTATTCCCGTCCGCCTTACGACGCGTCACAGGTCTCATCCAACTGGGATGGGGTAGGGGCTTGCTCTTGTCTCGAGCGGGATCTTTCAGTGCTTCCATGAACTCACGGTACGCCATCAGCCGCTCCAGATCCCAGAAGAAGACGTTGCCGCCAGCGTTGCAGAAGGCCAAGACTGGGTGCTGCCCGGGCACGAAATGCAGCTTGAAGCGCATGAAGAACTGCGGGCCACAGTTGGGGGTATGGAATTGTAGCAGCATGGTGTACTGGGATGGGCATTGTGGTGATATAGTAGGCACGAAGGCGGATCGTGTGAGTCGGCTGGCTTCGTCGTAATTAGTCGGAACGGTGGTCTGAGCTATAGGGGCTAAGCTCTGAGGCGGAGGAGGGTTCTTGGACGAAAAGCCCTCAATCCTCCAGAGCGCAATGACGTTGTCGTGGCAGGCTCTGGATAAAATACAATCGCCATAAAAAGCCACACTGTTCCTTGTTAGTTATGAGACTGATCAATTAATGTTGATCCTACCAATCGATGATGCCACTATGCACCGCTGATGTCGAGAAGTGAGGATAGTGGACGCGAATGGGGGTAGTGATAGGTTCAGTAGGAAGGTCGGGAAGAGTCCACTTCGCTGTGTTAGCTTGTTAACTAGAGAGTTGGGCATGTTAATTACCATATTGATGATTTGGTCATGACCAGCAGACAGAATATAGCGACCAGTGTCATGAAATGCCTACCAGAAGAGAAATATGTGGTCAACATTGCATCAAGACATCGGGGGATTGGCAGATACCAACCAGACTCAAGAGATCCCAAGAATGACCTTCACCAGCGAGAATGACGAGACATGGGCGCTTGCTGTGAACTGGATCGAGACTCCAGACACGGACACTTGTATCACCCGATGCTGAAGCGATGATAGATGGGTCGACGGGCGAAGTCACCAAGTCGTTGACGTCCTGTATGTTATAAGTTTATGCACGAGTTTATGCCTGAGCCAAGAGGGGGATATGGACATACACCTCCATGGCCAGTGAAGCACTAATGTTGGCAAAGTCAGTACTCGTTGTGTCACACATTGAATAGCATAAAATACCCTGTAAAGCTTTCCGCTAAGAATGTCGTAGATCTTTACTTTAGCATCAACTCCGCCGATGCAAAGATAGGGAGCCCCTGTGACGGGATCTTTGGTCCATGTGCAGCAGCACGCGGATGCCTCAACCTGAGTGGCTATTAGCTACGAGGGCCCATGAAGAGTGAACATAGCCAGCCTAGTCAAAACTCACATCGTCATCTCTTATCACTGACAACACCTCGCAAGGGGTGGTGTCGTTGGAGGTTTGGTTGAGTCTGCAGATGACGACCTAAAGGAAAATTAGGAGCTGATCTTGCAGGTAATAGCCCTTGCATAACTGACATGCTTTTTGCTGACTGCGGCAAACACGGGGCTCGCATCCAGGGGTTGGTAGGGACAAAACTTGACATCAAAGAACTCTGATTGCAGGAAAATAGTGCCCGAGTTAGCAGCATGCGAGACTGAACTGGCTTGCACCAGTGTTGGGGAAAAGGGGGAATCACACCTGCGACATTGTCATTTTCAAGATACTCAGTATCGTTCTGAAAACACCTAGATTAGCTTACGGAGCCCTAAATGACAGAGTATGCAAGACTCACCTCGAAGCCGAATGATGAGCGTAGCTTGGGAAGCTCAAAGGCATTGTCGTCGGCGATGGCCATGTTGCCAAGCTAGATGAGCGGCTACAACCGTTACCGACTGGGTTCCTGGACAGAGATGGGGTTCCGCATGTACTGGGGTAGACGGCCCTGCGCTGCGTACTGCGCGGTTGATTGCTGGTGTGGTGGAGGCTGCTGGTGTCTGAGATGAAGGATTGAGATGAGAGGCTCAAGAGGTAGAGTTGATGGCTGGACGCCCCAGGGAGAAACTAGAGCGGCGTTGTCCGAAACGAAACACACACGCAGGAAGATCTTGTCCGTCGAGATCCGATTCGTGAATGTCAGGGCCTGGCCAAGAAAAGAGTAAAGAATGAATGACGATGCCCCTAGAATCCCTGTGACAAAAACCGAGACGCGATGCGATGCGCGTGTGGTCGAGAATGAAGCCTGTCAGTGTCCGCCAGAGAAACAACGGCAAGTGGGGTCGAGACAGAATCGCCTTTGCCTGTACTCAGGTTAGCGGGCAACGTTAGGTACCCCGTACCTGCCTGAGGGAATTGCCCGGCACTGCGAACTAAGGCAGCTTGCACGGGCCCGGGCTTCACCAGCCAGAGCCAGGAAAGGCAGCTTTAGCGGCTAGCGGGCGGGTGCCACCCAAAAAGCAACGGCCAATCGCCCCTGCCGTTGAAATGCTGCAGCAAAGCACCGTGATTGGCCTCAATGAAGACAAAGAGAGACAAACCTGCCTGCCATTGTACGTAAATACAACCTCGCAGCATTGGGCTGTGATGGAGACCAAATTAGATCTGGGCTAATCATCACCTCCTCCGGATTCCGGCCTCTTTCCTCCTCCCTCGTCTTGATCTCATCGCTATCATACCGTAGACCCAACGAGCTTATCACACCTAAGCGAGTGCGGTAAACAATCATTCCGCGCCATCAAGGCCCCGCCTACTCGACTGCCCGTATTGATACAGACTAGGTCCAGACGCAACGGCTCGAGCCAGCACTGAGCAGAGCCTGTCCAAGGCTTTTCGTAAACCTACAACGCTCGGGATCCTGAAGGGTTCCACAGGTTTTTGCACGGAAGCTCAGGACATCCATCTGCAGAAGCAGTACCCATGAGCCTCGAGAACGCGGAGCAAGGGGACTAGGGTTGCCGGCATGCATCAATGTCACCTACATCATCACAGCATCGTACGGGCGCGTGCTCGATCTGATCTGGTCCGATCCGGATCTGGTATGATATCTGAGCAGTTAAGCACGTCAATTCTGAGCCTGCCAGCCCCGGATCTCAGTCAACAACGGCGCCCTGCACCATCTTGTCTCGTCTCATTCTTTGACCTCATGAGTAACAGACACGGGAGACTGAGAATACTGGATGTCTGAACCAATCCGGTACCACAGCGCCGACGCGAGTCCTCGTTCTGTCGAACCCGAGCACTTCTAGCCTTGTCTTGTACGGCGAGACTAGGGCCAGCTCGGCGCGTCCGCTTGTCGAGGTCAACCGGAATGACCGCATTGCTTGACTCGAGGAACACGGATGCCCTGTTTGGACGAATCTGAGCAGTCACGTCTGAATCCCCGAGGCGTTTCCGTGTGGACATTGTCCAAGTCTTCATCGTGCTAAGGACGTTGCCGATACCCTAGCCGTCGATCATGCCAGGGCAGCTCGGGCAGGACGAACAGGTCCGGCTCTAGTCGCGGGAAGCAGCCGACGGTGTTGGAGAGTGGGAATGCGAACAGTAGGCGTGCTCGCAATGTCTTCCTGACTGGTCGAGGGTCACTCCAGGGTCACTGTTGCATCCGCTACCGTAGATCCCGTACTGGCAACTTCGGGGTCACAACACATACGCTCGTCTGTCCTCTGTATTCCATGGACAAGGAACGAGACAATCATGCCTCCATCCGCTGGCCCATGTGGCTTGGAAAATGGACGAAACTAGCCACCGGCTACCCACGAGGATCCGCAGTGCTACGGGTGAGGCGCCGTCGGCCGAGGCCATCCCGCGTTCTCATCACGGTTCGGGTTTCGGTCCCGCAGAGAAGAAGGCGTTGGGACTGGGTGATGAGGTTGCATTGAGGCGTTGATGAGTTACGGAGGAGGCAATGTCCGCCGCAGCAAGGGCGTCAACAAGCAAGCAGCTAACAGCCTCGGAGAAAGACAGTCAAATTGGGCAAGTTGACCGTGGAGCAGGCATGTGTGGGCATGGAGGTTGACGAGCATCCTGGCTTCTACTGCTCTTGTTGCTCCTGATGAGACGGACAAAAAGGGTTGTGCCTTGTACCACTCTGCCATGCCTCCATCCGGCTGAACATGCTCCATCCCTGGAGGTGCTTGCTTGCCCCAACAACACAACTGGATGCAGACAACAGTCTCTAGACTGCATGGATGGACTGGTTAGATGCGGTGTAAGATGCAGATGCGACTGGGCAGGCTGGATCTGTCGTAAAAGATAAGGCGGGAGAGCCTTCACCGAAAGATGGGCCCGCTTCGTCTTGTTTGCCCTTGGCTTGGGGTCTCGCCTTTTCTTTGTCCATCTCGATGCAGAGTGGTGAAAGACGCATGCCTCATGCTGGGATGGGAAGGTCAAAGTGCATGAGCATACATGATTCAAGGCATTGTTGCGTATTGCACATCAGCAATCACAAGGCAATTCGATGGCAGGCTCTCGATTCTGGTGTAGATTTGGGGTTGTTGCGATCTCGACAATCTCAGTCGTCGTCTACCGTAACATCGGCGGTTTTAGGCCGCCCCTCCATCAAGCCATGATCGGCCTTGCCAATTCCGTCTTGTCTCGTCATTGTGCTCAACGTCATTGCTCATCCCCATCCATCCCCCGCGTGTCAAGGTCAAAGCCAAAAAAGACGACCAATTGTTAGCGAGAAGTGCAAGCGAAAATGGGATTTGCCTGCTTGTCGATCCTCGCTTGCACGGGCCCTGCCTGGATCGTGAGAAGCCGTCGCAGAGCTGCTGCCAATGGTGAATCAGCATCACCGTGAAGCAGTGCTCTGATGCCCTTGTTCATTTTTGCTAATAACAGGCCGTTGACCTTGCCCCTTCCTCCCGGCAGCTGGCGTTTTGTCTTGTCTCCGACTCAACCCATCCGAATCCATTGATTGATTGCTTCTTTGCTTTTCCCAAACGACGACGCAACGCATCCTGATGGGACCTTGAACATCCCCGCCCTCCACTTACAAGCTATCCCTGACACCCTCGTTTCTGTCAAGCCACGAAGAAAGCAAATCCCCCTGCCCTGCAACCTCTCGCCGTTCCCCTAGAGGCTCCAACAGCCCTTCGCCGAGCCCGGGCTACGACCAAGCGTGACGAGGGTCGAGGGTGCATCCGAGAAACGTCGGGGTTTCCTCATCATCGCTGCAAGCAACATCCTGTGCCTTTGTGGGTTGTACCTTGCACGTAACGCGCGCGAGCGCTTGCGTACATAGTACATGGCTGGAGGTGGAACCTGCTGGCATCCATCTGTATGCTGCTGTCGCTGCTTCGTATGCTGCGCTGCTGCTTGACATGACGATAGCCCTGTCGTTGAAGGCGTTTTCAGACGTTTTCTCGACACGGTCGTCTCTGGCGGGTAGCAAAGAGAGGGATACGGCAGCAAGCCGGCATTAAAAGAAACAAAACAAAACAAAAGATACCAGACTCGAGACGTCGAGGTCAAAAGGTGTGCTACCTTGTCAACCGACCCTTCGCCCTGTCCAGCTGCACATTTCCGCGACCGCAATTTCCATCTGACTTCTCACTTGGCCGACCAGGCCCTGGTCGAGCCACGAACAAAGATCTCATTTTTCAGATTTTACTCCCTGTTGACAGACCTCATTTGGCTGGTCTCCTACTTGCTGTTGTCTTCTCTCGTCCCCCGGATGCTCGTCGCTCCGGCTCTGGTGTCTTCCTAGTTACCTACCGACATATTTGGATTCCCACATACCCTGGTCGTCATCAATTTCACTGCTGGAGGTGTCCCCGCCATCAATCATCCTTCGCCTCCATCTCTTCCTGTCTTGCTCAATTATTGTTGTTCGCTGCGCTGCGCTGCCCGCACACGCGCAGACACATAAACCCACTCTCATCTCCCCATTCCCCTGCCTGCCCTTCCCTTCGCAGACGCCGCGAGAAACAAGACTTCTCGGACAAGCCACCACCGCCCTTTTTTTTCCTCCCCTTCCATCCAATTCCCGTCCCGTACCTACTGTACCAAGACTTTTTCCACCCCAAGACTGCTAGACTCGACGACTCGACGTCCCCTGAGCTGTCACATTGCGGTAGCTTCGTCCACCTCCAACCTCCCGTACCCGCAGCCCGCACCGCCACGGATCAGTAATCACCCTGACCGTTCCCCGACGCCGCCCACCCTTGCTTGACCCTCTGTCTTCTGGTCCCTTTTCCCGCGTCTTCCGGGGTCTCGGCCGTCATTGCCTGCCCCTGTCACTCGAGTCCTCCCCTTCCCCTGCCAGGCCCGTCACGTCCCTTGTGCCCAGAAGCCTCTGGGCTGGTCCTGGTCCTACTGCCGACTGGATCCACTCTTGGCAGTTGACGCCAAAAGAAACAGCCTTGAGTTAGCGGGTTATACATATCCATGGTTGGAGCTTCAACCCACTTACACCACATTTTCAAATCCTCCCTCGACTCTGGTTTTATTCGTTGCCGGTCGGGTTCTCCGCGTTGCGTTGCAGCTTGCTATCGCCCTCGATACCTTTGTGAGAGAACGTCTCCGAAGGTCCAGCGGTATAAGCCAGCACCTGACACTCCTCCCTTTGATCTGCGTCGGTGAGGTACTACAAGGGCAGACCACTTAAACTGTTTCC